TGATTTCCTTCATTTGTGGAGTATAACAATGAAGCAAAACTGAAGGAACAAAACAGCAGCAGACTCACAGACTCCAAGAAGGGATTAGTAGTTACCAAAGGGGAGGGGTGTGGGAGGGCAGGTGGGCAGGGAGGGAGAAAGGGACTGAGGGGTATTACGTTTAGTACACACGGTGTGGGGTAGGGGTCATGGGGAAAACAGTATAGCACAGAGAAGGCACATAGTGACTCTGTGGAATCTTACTCCACTGATGGACAGTGACTGCAGTAGGGTATGGGGTGGACTCACTAATATGGGTGAATGTAGAACCACATTGTTTTTTCATGTGAAACCTTCATAAGAGTGTATATCAATAATACCTTAATAAAAAATTAAAAAAAATAAAATTAAAAAAAGGAGAGGTGAGGATGTGGTCATAAACCTGGTTGGGGCCAAGACCAAGGTCCCCAGGGACAATGCAGCCATGATAAGCATCAGCCAGAGGCTCTGTGTCTCCAATCCAGTCATTCAATTCTGCCTGGTATATTTAACCCATTGGCTTATACACTGGTGCAAAATAGAAAACGATCAGGAAAACCTTAAAAGGACAATGTAAGAGACATTGAAATTATATGGGAAATGTTTTGTGGGCCACCTCTGATGTACCAGGCACTGTACTAGCTACTATCAGTCCCATCTTCTTTAAGAGTCCAAGAAGGACAAATTTCCTCATTGGAACCAAAAGCTGAGGGTGGCTGCGACAGAAAAGCAATTTGGTGGCCTAGCCTCAAAGCTGCTCTGATGTGAAAGCAGCCTAGGGATCTGTCTGTCTACTGCATTTGTCTCTTCCTGTTCTGCAGGCTCCCAGGTCCCTCTATTGGAGAAAGAACCCCACCAAAGACTTAAAGCGGGATAGTCCAGACAGCCAGTGCCAGCAGACCTGGTGCCTGTGAAGGAGACAGCTAGATTCCACAAGTGCCAGCCCAGATGCTGTGTTTCTGCATGGGGACACTGGCTGTGTCCTAGAATGTCATAGCCTTGTACTAAATACTAGAAATGTTATGAGGAAAATGGGCTTTTTATGAGCCCAGCTGCCATTTATAACTGCATTTCCACATGAAAATATGGAGTTCCAAACAATTATCTCACGAACATGGAGTATCAACCTTTTACAGGCTCAAAATCGCCTCTCCTTTCCTTTTGATATAGCACAGCTGGTTTCCTGCATGGAAACCTGTAAAGTCTCCCAGGGTTAGATCATTTCCCTTCCAGCTGTACTTCTGGGAGAGCCCACAGAGAGGAAGAGATTCTTTCTGACTGTGACTTCCTTCTGGACTCTGGACAACCAGCCCCAAGGTGTCATGGATGGAAAGAGGCACACTTGCTTCTCAGCCGTGTTTCCAGGTCCCACTTTCCTGCTCCAGAACCTTCCGTCCAGTCTCTGGGGGCCAGCCTTGCTCAGCCTTCATCTTGCCTAGGGTGGACCCTCATCTGTCACACTTGTGTTTAGCAGTAATGCCACTAGATTTACTGATAACTGTGACCCAGCTGATAAAATGACCCAGCATTGCACAAATACCTTTTTACCCAATTCATGGCACAAACATTACCAGAATTTTGTTCATCTTTTCCTAAGAAAGATGCCCAAGTTCAATGTACCAGACTGGATTTGTAGGAAGCCACATAACTAAGGATTGGGAGAATTTCTTGGTGGTTCAAGGTATAAGGAATGGGGATTTCATTGATTTTCCTTCTGTGTTGTTCAGTATGTTGCCTGAAGCACCGGAAGATTGGCTAAATGCTTTGTTGACTAAGATTCTACTCAACTGTCATCAGTTCCTTGGCCCAGGAAACCTGTGTGCTCAGCATCACTGCCAAGCCCAATGTGAGGTGGCCTCTGTTCCACAGGCTGTGGGGTCTGTCCCAAAGCCAGGGGCACTGACCACACCACGGCCTTAGGGGAAACCCAGAAGCTGGTCTGCGATGCTGCGGTAGTGAGCATCAAGAAGGGGGCGAGGCTTCTGGTGTGGCAGGCCCAGTAGGCCCAGCCTACATACATGCCAGAGGGCTGGGGAGATGCCATGTACAGTGAGTCTCTAGACTGGGGGAAATGAAGACACCCTGCCCCCTCCCAAAAAAGAGAGCAAAATTTAAAAAAAAAGCATGTAACAATAGAGATCCAACACACAAACATACATGAGAAATGCTGGGAAATCCCAAGGAAGTATTAAAGTCCTTAAGCAAAAGCAGAGCCAGGCTAATGCTCAGACCAAACAGATGAGCCCCAAATCTACCACCATCAAATTATGGGAAGCCAGCAGAACTCTAGGAGTGGTCTGGGCCTCCCACCCCAGCAGAGAGGAAGACCACTTTCCAGGCCTTTCTGTTACATTTCTGTACCACTCGCATTCTTTCCATTTCCCTTTGAGACATCGAGGAGAGGTTTTGCAAACTAGAAATTAGGTGTATTTTTAATCGAAGTTCTTCTCAAGAGATACAGGTTTATCTAATGACTTCCAGTCACCTATCTGTTTTGGTGCAACAAAATGTGGGGGCAGGGCAGGGAGAGCCCGTGCAGTGTCCTGGGGGGGGTGAGGGCCCCTGGAGACACTTCCTTTCTGGCCTGACACCCATTATATGTCCTTCTAATGGGTTCTTTTAAAATCACTGTGTTCAGCCACGGGGAGAAGGGATCTTTATTCTTTACAGTCTGTTGCCCAGAGAGACTTCTAATATAGGTGTGGAGCATTTAAGCAGTTAGCTGAGAGCCAGCTGCCCCTGCTGAGGCAGTACAGTGCTACAGGCAGGGACCTGGGGGGTTCCCAATGCCTCAGCACTGCCCAGAGCTTCGCTCCACCCCAGAAGGAATGGGACAGGTGCTGGGGCCCGGTGCTGGGGTTTCCGTGGGGCCTTTTGGGGTTGCAAGAGTAGAGAAACAACCAGGCTCTATGTTTTAGGCTCCAGACTTCAGAAGGGTAGTTTCTACCCCCAAATAATGAATTTTGCCTCATGCTTCAAGAATGAAACACCAGTAGAAGCTGAAAAAGGCAGTAATTCTGCAGCAATAATTCCCCCAGAGCTTGCCAGGAACAGGACCAGAGGACCCTGCTCTTTGCCTGGGCTACAAGGGACTCCCCTCAGGATGGATGTTTCTTTCATACTTCACTGGTAGGGCAGCAGCCTTTCTGTGGGCAGAAGAGCCCATGAGAGAAGTCTAAATCCCAACAGCAATCATGAATGGGCTGACAGAAGAGGAAGTCATGAGTGGTGAGAACCAAGCAGCAGGGGTTACGAGGCATCTGATGGAGTATTTGATAACTTGGAAGTCACACTGAGTTTCTTTTCTCTACTTATTTCATGTTCCCCTGGAATTTGTTGGAATCCTCAATCTGAAAGGCTAGTAGCTGGAGATCAGGTATACGGACATAAAAACAGTCAACTATATTTGATCGCTCAAGTGATAGGGGTAAAGAAAACAAACTTAGACATACGAGGTAATCAGTGTGGCTACAGTATCTTGAGCTGAGAGGGAAGGGTGAATATAATCTTAAAGAAATGTGTTTTGACAGTTCCTTCAAAGGGATTTTGAATTAAAAAACTCACATACTGAGATTCATCTAGAATTGGCATACACATTAGCAGGGAGAGTCAGAGGAGGTGGGAAAGAGTCAAGGACGTTAAATGGGACAGGATTTGTTAGCTGGAATGTCAGCATCAGCCCTTTCACAGCATCAGTGGATGGATGTGGAAGCTCTGGAGGGAGCTGCAGGGGTCAGGGGTCAGAGAGCAGAGAGCAGCCACAGCCCAGAGGACAAGAGCCCCCCTCCTCATCAGCAGAGACTCCCTGACAACAGGCGCTGTGGAAATCCAGAATTACCTCTTTGGTTTTTAAATGAATGGACCAAGAAGTGACCCTTGGGAAAGGATGGGATTACGGTAAAAAAAAGACAAGAGAATAATCTTTGCCAGCTCATTTTAAGACCACTTCTAGGCAAGGAGCATGTGAGAGGAGGTGAGAGCGTCTGCTGCCTGGCCGAGGACACAGGGCTTCCAAGGGGCCGAGGGTCGCTGGTCAGCTCGGGGCGGCTGCGTGGCACTCCTGCTGACAGGGCGGTGGCCTTCCAGGAGAAAAGCCGCCCAGAGTCTAGAACTGAGACTAACAAATGGGCTAAACAGCAAGACTTCAAAGACGGTGAATTCCTTCCAGGTGATGGTTCTCCTGCTTTAGAGGGCTTGAGAATCACCTGGAGGGCTGGCAAGACAGATAACCAGGCCTCACCTCCACAGCTTCTATCTAGAGGGTCTGGGTGGGGCTAGAGGAGGGGCACTTCCAATAACTACCAGAAGACGATGCCGGCGCTGCTGATCAGGACACCCTGCTTTGAGAACTACCGCCTCCGCAAGGAGGGAGGGCCACTGCCGTCGGCATCTGTCGGCGTGGCCTCAAGTTTGGCGACTGGCTGGCAGCCTCACTGAGGCTTTCCTGCACACCGGATCTTCCTTGGGACCCATGGGCCCTAAATGGCTGAGGCTGAGTTCCTCACATGCTGTGTCCTGAGTGTGGTTGGCAGTGACCTTCCTGATGGGTGTGACCCCTGCAAGTTGTGAGGAATGGGTAGGCAGAGGTCATGTTGGAGTGAGTTTTAATGCATGCATGTGCATGTGAGTGTGTGTGCAGGAGTGTGTGTGTGTGTGCACACGTGTGTTGCTGCTGTCAAATACCAAACAGTGTCAGAGGGACCAGGACGCAGATGCAAGGCTGATGGGTTGGGGTAGGTGAACTTTTATTACAAAAAATTAAAATATGCCAGGCAGCAAAAATCCTGAATCATCCTAGAGTATGTATGGGCAGTGGGGGTATCTGCCACTCTGCTCCTTTATGAGCTGGAAAAGGGCCTGTGCTTTAGCCATTTGGTTATCAGCTTGATTTCCTCTTGCTGTTTGTGAGCAGGGGCTGGGAACGTGGGTAGGGAAAGGGTGCCAGCAGGGTTAGTGTCAGCGACAGACGCTGCTATACATACCACCCAGGTGCAAGTCGACGAGGTCACTGTAATAAGACTCTCCCCAATAGTCTACAACAAGGAATTGGTGAAGACAGAGTTACTGGACCAGACAACCTCCTGTTGCCCCCGTACCCAAAGCAATCCAAGGCAAAGAGCTAAGAAACACACAGAGGTTCAGTGAGAGGGCCGAGAGCAGCAGCCGGAAGCACGCGTCTGTGTCAGTGCATTGCACACATGCTGTGGCTGTGCACTTCTTGGCGGTGGGATGCGGGTGACAAAACTACAGGTGACAGAGTTAACTGCCAGTCAAATGTGATTTCTCTTTGCGCCGCTGATCAGTTAGGATGGGCCTTGGCTTTGTCGGGAACCCTGACCATGCTGGGACCAGACTTATCTAAGTTAAAAAAAAATTCAAGGGCTTAGTTCCTGAATATTAGAAACCCCAGGCTGGAGAGCTAAAGGTAAGACATGAATACTCTAAAAAGCTCTGCAAGAACACCATCCCTTAGGTTTAAAGGCAGCGAGGGAAATTCACATGTGGCCTCTGGAGGGTCTGTCAGACCCCTTGCAGAACCACTTTTGCTGCCACAGGTCTGAGGAGATCCTGTTTCTTCTGAGGTAAGACCCCCACCTTCAGCCAGCTTTCTCTTTAAAGGTGGGAAATGAGCTCTGGCCACCTGCTCAAGGCTCTTGGAGGTCTGCTGGCCACAGGCACCAAGCCCTTAGAAGAGGTGTGCTATCTGGCAAGATGTTATGTGCTTCACTTGCCTGAGATCCAGAACCCGGGCATGCCAAGGCCTGGGCCCAGGCCAGCGGCCCTTGTTCTCCCAGAACCATAAACAAATGTAGAGCACAAGTCAGCTGCTATCTGTTACCCCTCTCCTCCAGACCTCACCATCTGAATGCTGATCCTGGCCACCTTCTATTCCACATGAGGGTTCCTCCTTCCAGAACAGACACACCAGAAAGTAGAGTGGAATCCTGGAATGGTCTTTCAATTCATGCTCAAGGCTGATCCAGTGGTGTAAGTTTGAATCAGTTTCCAAAAACAGAAAGGGCTCCCCAAGTGCTCCAGACCAGAAATCACTGTGTTGCCCTAGGCTTGAGGCCTCTGAACCTAACCCTTGCTGTGAGATCAAGAGGTTGGCAGTCTGTATTAGATCTCTTCTCTAGAAGGGCGGCTTGGCTAAGTCAGATCCCCTCAGAGCGCAAGGGTAGCTTGAGCCCATCAAGTGAGACAGAATGCAGGGGGCAGGCTGTCCATCCTCCAGAAAGGGGCTGACTGGCATTGCTGGAAGACTCCAGACTATTATGCTCAAGTGAGAGTCTTCTTAAGGGCTCAGCCAGGAGTTAACCAGGCTAACACAAGGAATGGGATGCAGCACAGGAGAGAAAGGAGTGCCACGTGCACACGTGGTCTCAAAGATGTTCCTACCTTGGCTTTGACAAAGGTCTCATGACAAAAGGTGAGCAAAGGGAAATGATGTGTCTGGAAATATCTTCTAATGGTCTGAGCTACTATATCCTGAGAGTTTCCCGAACACATCATGGGGAAATTTCCCTGTGGAGCTACCAAAGCCAGTCTTTGAAAACAGGACAGGTAAGCATTTGGATAGAGGTGTTTTGCTTATGAGAGTTTGGACTAGGACAGTGGTTTCGAAGTGTTTTGAAATCTAGGGTTCTTCAAGTGGTACTCCAGGGGGCTCCTACTACCTGATTCACAAGTATTTTCAGTCATTTTAAACCCTTACATAAGACACAATCTGTTCATATGCTGATTTTAAATGACCATCAGCACATTCGTTTGTGTGGCTAGGTCAGCTCACTTCTGTGAGGCCCTCAGGATGGAGATGTGAACGTGTTATGGAAGAGGAAATTTCACTCACTGATTTAATTCTGGCCTGAGAGTACAGTGCCCAGGTACAACTGTGCAGCGACGTCAGGAGGCCAGCCCCTTGGGGCAGCTCCTGCACATGCCCTGCAGGCAAGCGACACGCATCCACCGGAGCACACCTAATTCCTGTGTTTACTGTGTGTTTGAAAGCTGCCATATGAGATCTCTTCTCTGTAAGGAACACAAACTGCTGTCGGGTCAGGGGCTTGACTATGAAAACAATTTTGACCTTCCATGTTAAGCTGCCCCATCTAGGTCATTTCCAGGTAAGTGATTAAAAACTGTTACTATTCATAACAAAGTTCTCCGTGTATCAGGATGTGCTCCATGCTGTGCTCCAGAGGTGACTGGGGTGCTGAGCCCCATGACCATTTGCAGTTTTCTCCTGTAACCTGTACTTTCAGTTTGTATATTAACATTTTAGAATATTTAGTTTGTTTTGATTTTAAATTTGAACTTATAATTTGGTTTCTAAAAAAGATTCTGCTGCTAAAAAACAAGTTTGAAAACCACTGACTTAGAAGAAATTCTGGTTGTATATGTTTAAGAAAGGGTAAGTACCTCAACAACCAGAAAGAGGAATTTTGGCAAAATCCTATGCTAGTCCTCAATGGTACGTTTTCTTTGACCTCTTGGCAGTCAGCAGCTTGAAGAACATAGCCTGTTATAGAAATACAGAAGTGCTGTCATAGACTCCAACTGCATGGCAGCTGACAGATATACAGATGTTTTATGGAAACCATCAACCCTGGGGCCCACTGAAACTCAGAACCTGGGAGTGGGGGGCAGAATGCCTTCCTTGAGGACCTGTGCTGACTGTGAGATGCAGACGCATGCACCTGGTGAGTTGTTCTGGCTCTGGGTTGGGAGCTCACCCCTTACTCCCCACCTGGCAGAAGTAATTTGTGGGGAGGGTGAGCAGGAAGGCTAATAGGCCCAGGCTCCCTCCGAGGTTATCTGCAAGAACAGAAGGCAATGAGACCACGCCCTGTGGGCTCCTCTGCTGGGCGCTGGGCATCTCTGGTGGGCTCAGGCCAGCTTCCTCCAGGATTAACTGAGGAGGCCAAGTCACAGTGTGCAGGGCATGGGGCAAAACCAAGCGGCTTGGGGGCACCCTTCACTTGGAAGTCCAGGGCCCTTTCAGGTGACTCCCCTATCTCTACTCCTTGACACAGGACACAGGACTGGCGCCTGCCTTGAAGTCACACATCCCAGGCTTATTGGCTGCTCAGTGGTTCAAGTTTCTGCCTTTCAGTGACCCAGGCTTCAAGCAGTAAGTCAGCCTCAGATGGCACAAAACCAAGGCGTTCACATCCTCATCTCTTGCCCCCTCAACCCACCTCTTCTCCTGAAGGTCATCACTAAGTCAACTGTTAAGCTGCAATTTCTAGGCCTTGAAGGGCCTGGAAAGGAGACTTACTTTTTGCCTGACTTCAATACCCTCCATGATAGCATCTGTCCTGCAGAACCTCATGAATGTGTCTTGACAATGGGCACATACTGTGAAGTCAGCTTTCCAGTGGGATAGGGTGGCAGCAGCTCGCCATTCCTGGCTGCCTTGTATTGGTTCTTCAATTCACAGACAGTCTGCCAGCCAGGAGCTGAACCACCCGCCCCTCTGCCACCCTAGAATAGGAAGGGGCTACCTCAAAATTAGGACACTATCTCTCTTCCTCCCCAGCCTGTGTACTCGCCTTAGACGGATGGAGGTTTCTCCATCCAGAGGCTGGACTGAGGCCTGTGGGCTCCTGAGAAAGCAGACATAGTCAACTCCATGCCTGGGTAGGGCCACAGTGGGAGTGGCTCAGTGGTTTCAAGGTCCTGAACCAACAGGGCTTCCTGGGCCCCTGAGACCAGGGACAGCTCAAGTACGTCCTTGCTTCCTCTGTGCCCAGTGGTGCTGGGCAGCGGGCATGTGCACTACGTCCCAGAGGTCTTGCCCAGGCCTAGCAGTCACCAAGCGCAGGGATCTCCAGCCATTTGCTGGTGTCTACTCTGCGCTGGCTCACCACAGTCCCCTAGCCTGTCCACCTGCTCTGGAGTGATGGGCCTCTAGGAACACAGCCTAGGTTCGCCATGGCAACCTGTGTGCTCCATGTACAGGAGGGGATGTGTCCTCTGTGCTTGGCAGCTCGGGCGGGACAGAGCACCAAGGGCTAGCACAGGGGTGGTGGGGGGAGCAGGCGGGGGTCCCACCATGCAGTTCTGTGATGGCTCCTTGTGGTGGTCTCCCTCATTCCTGTTATTTTCTAGAGAAAATGGTGGGGAGGGGAAGGAGTAGAAGGAGAGCAGGCGGCCCAGGGCTTGCTGTCAGTAGATGAAGTGGCCTGGGATTCCCTCTACGGGTAGGTGGCAAGCCCTCAGACAGGGAGGAGAGCTCATCTGGGCTTTGGGGCTGTCTCAAACTGTTGTGCTTTCTTTTGCCTTTGCTTAACAGGGAGCCTCAAATCTCAGTGATGAAGGCACCCAGAGAGCTCTGCTGGAGAAGATGCTGAATTTCAGAGGAAGTAACTGAAAGCTAGCCTGCTGTGGGGTGGGGGGCCTTCCTTTAGGAACAGACTCCTCACAGAGGACTCGCAGGCAGTACCTGCTTCGCCGCGGAGTGCCTTCTCCACAGCGACCCCTCTCTCTTCCAGCTGCCTCTGCTTCTCCTCCACCTGCTCCAGCTGCCGTTGGATTATCTGAGAGAGGACAGAACAGTGTGAGCACCCAGCTTCCTCTCTCCCAGTTTTCAAGAGGACAACTAAACTGCACAAATGCTAACAGGGAGAAAAAAAAATTAGGTCAAAGGTCATAAAGGCTCCAGCAACGAGTATCATGCCCCATGTGTGGTGTGGAGACACCTCCATCGGGTCCTCAGGGCCCCGTGAACTGCGCAGACACGGGCGCATCTGGGGTCAGCCCCATAGCCCCAGGAGCATGTCCCTGCAGCAAGCTGCCCTCCCAGGAGAGGCTGAGGATGTGGGCCCCAGGGGAAGGGTAGGAGTACGGCCCCCCAGGGCCTTGCTGACAGGGGGTCTGCCCAGTACTGGCAGGGGCTCTTGGAGAGCAGAAGGAAATCCCATCTCTAGGAAGTCTAGAAGGAGCGACACCAGGATGTGCTCGAAACAGCAGTGAGGAGCTTCTGCGTGCTACATGGGGACTAACAATGCCACTTCCACTCAGAAGGATATTCAGCCCCAAAGCAGCAGTTAAGGACATATATCTATGGACATGTCACACAGAAAATGAAATGAAATCCAGGGGTCCAATCACTGCAGAGCATGTGGCCACAGCTCATGCACAAGAACAGGTCTGAGAGATTGGAGGTTTGCAAAACTTGCTGAAACAGGATTCAGAGGAGCAGCTTCACTGGTGTTTGGATTTGCTGTTACTATTTCTCATTGTACAGCTTTTGATTAGTATACTGTTTTTTCATTAAAAACATGTAATTTCATTTAAAAAAGTGTATTGTATTTAGATGTCTTTTAATACTTTGTATAAGGAAATTATTTTTTTCTTCTCGCCCAAAATCTGTGAGGCCTGAAGACAGGGCCTAATATCTCTGTTCTCTAAATCCTAGGCCTCTAAGAGGCTGACAGGTAGGCTGTTTCTTGCCAACAGTTCCTACAGCTGGCACTCATTGACTTTACAGTGATCATTCCAGAGCAAGGAATTTAGGAAGCACAAAGCTTGGCAATTCCCTTCCTACCAATAACTCCACAAAAATGAGGCCTCTGTAGTTGTATCAAGCCAGAAGCGTGAGACCTGAGACTGTCCTCTCAGAGACTGGGCACAGCTGTGTGCCTCTGCTCTCCCTCTCCACCCACTCACTGGGGGCAGGACAGCAGGTTGGACAGTAGTGCCCCTTCCCGTGCTGAGTTGTCGCTTTACCTGGGCTCGGTGCAGTCGTTTCAGCTCCTCTTGCTTGGCCTGTCTCCAAGCAGCCTTCTGCACACGCCGAGTCAGCTTGGCGTTCAGTTCTTCCTCTGTGTATGTTCTTGGCTAGAAAGAATGAGAGCACAGGCCTGAGAGGTTTGGGTGCTGGGCACACAGGCCTGAGAGGTTTGGGTGCTGGCTGGCAGGGGCAGAGAGGGCACTGTCCCCTGCACAGAACAATCTTTCCACAGAGTACCCGCAGGTTAGATGGGGGGGCATGGAGTATGTGCAGATTCCTGGCTGCAGCTCAGCCAGACGTTTTGTGATTACCTGTCTCTCCTGCAGTCGCATAGGTCCACCTGGGGTCTACAAGGGAGATATGCCCCCACTGTGACAGGGACAAGAGGCTGAGTGGGGACATATGCTTCTTTGTCAATGAGATCACCTGTTTCTTGTGAGGATATCTGCTCTTTTTACTACTTTAAGGGGATTAAAATATGGCACAGTGCTTCCCCAAGCCTCCTCCTGCTTCTACGAGGCTTACAAGGAAAGGAAAAAGAAAAATCATGATCCTTTTATTTTCTTGTTTGGTATCAAAAGCCACTTTCTTCAGATGAGTGATATTTAAAAGGTATTTTTAAGAAGTAACATCTGAAGTAGAGAAAAGAGGGATGCTTCTATTTTAAGTCTAAATTAATCCGCATCTAATATAGTTGAGGAAGGAACTCAGAGGGGACTCTGGACTGACAGCGGTCTGTGTGGGCAGCTGCTGGGAGGGAGGGAGGGAGGCTGGCAGGACTGACTGAGCAGTGCCATCAAGACCCGAGTAGGAGACTGGGCAAACCCAGTGTGACCCTGGTGGCACATGTGGCCTTAAGGGTCCAGGAAGTATCTAAGGCCTTGAATCATACTGGACAACCACTGAGAGGCAAACGCTAGGGGTCGCCTCTATTCATAACACCTTCCTTATTGGCTCCAAAACAGTAAGAGGAGGGGATGTTGACAAACTTATAAGGAGACTTGCAAACTTGACTCAGATTCCTCTTCACTCTAATAGCTCCAGTCATGCAGAGGCCAACTAAGCAGGTGGTCCTTTGAACTGGCAGTGCTGTTTTGGTGCCCTGAACATTTCTCATTGCAGCTCACAGAGCTGAGGGCATGCGAGCACCCCATTCCTGCAGTGCCCAGACCCACAGGGCAGGCCCGGCTCCCACGGGTACCTGGAGCGAGATTACTACATGTGCTCCAGCCATTGAGGAGTAGGGATCTCACCCTCCTCTTTCTGACATGTTGCTATGGCTCCATGCACATATGAACAGTTAGTGAGGAGGTGGCTGGAGGCCCAGGTGGGGCTGCTCCAGGTGGTTAATCACAAACATGCATGCAAGAGTGGCCAGCCAGTGGGAATGAGACACTACCTTTGATGAATATGATCTCCTGAATGCCAAGGCATGTGGTACATAAATCGACTTTTAAGGGGATGGCAACGGAAAACAAAACACAATAGTAATAATGATCAAAAAATTAAATATAGAATACAGAAATAGAACAAAGTCAGTAAGAAGTTTAAAACAAACAGACAAGACAGAAACACACAATTATCTTCCACAATGTCACACAGGACTGTGCAGGGAGGGACCAGGGTATAAGGGCCTAGCAGCAGCCCCTCAATGAGTCTGGTTTGAATAAGGCCTGGGCTCACTTTTCTACCAAGAAAACAGCTTCTTCCCCACTGTGCCCCAAATCTTCTCTTTTCTTTCTCCCTGTTTAAATATATGGCTACAGATGCTCTTTATCCTTTAGTAGCTATTTGCTTGTGGAAATTTAGACTATTTCAGCTGAATGCCGCAGGGTAATGGGATGGGGGACAGGAGGAGGGAAATTCCTGCTGCCAGAGACACAGACACAGAGACACCGAGTGTCCAAACCAACATCACCCACTAAAGGCACCTCCCGGCAGGGATCCTAAGCAGGGCCAGGTGGGGTCCTAGCAGGCCACCCAGCAATCCTGGATAGGGTGGGGCCATTTCTTCACCATACACAGTGAACGGGACTAAAATAGCTTAAGTAACTGGTATTCATAAAAAATACTCCATGCAGTGACTGTAGCCTCTTCTCACTCCACTAACCTTTGAGCAGTGCTGCTGGGAGCTCAGGTAGTTACATTTGCTCTTCTGGCCTTGTCACCTGCCATGTTATAGCTACGAGACTGTCAGGGAGTGACGGAGGAGGTGGTGGGGGGGCGGGAGTGTGGAGGGCCACCTTTCAAAGCACAGTGGCCCAGAGAAGGAGTTTACTTCCTAGTAGCTACATTTACCTTTGAGCACATGGTCCTGTCTCAGACTAACTCACCTCTCCCACAAACTGGAGAGGAAAAATCTCATTATCAGAGCAAGTCAGTTAAAAAAAGACAAAGGACAATTTCCCCAAGCAGTGAGTGAACTCTGCAGGGACTGGTTATGTACAGCCTGAGGAATGGCACTCACCACCTGTCCTGTCTAGGCTGCAAGGGGCAGGGGCCCGTCTGTGCCAGGACAGTGGGTGGCATAGCACCGCGCTGCCCACTGAGGCCCAGTGAGCAAAAGCAGCAGCTTAGATGTATTTAAAGTCAGAGTGAAGCAAAGAAAAGAGGTAATGTGAGTCCCCTCTTGCTGGTAGGAGTATAGGTGATTTTTCAAAATCTGTAGTATCTTAATTTTTCTATATAAACACTTGTAAATAAAAATGTTATTTTAGTTTTTTTTTAATGGAACAAAACTGGGGCACTTGTTTCACAGATGCCTGACTCAGGGATGCAGGAGTAGCTGTTTCCCAAAAATAAGCTGCCCAGCAGGCCAGTTGCTGAGGTTGGGGGTCAGCAAGCAGCTCCCTGCTCACTTTAGGTGCCCCCCTGCTCTGAAAATTCAATTTCAAACCCACAGAAACATTCAAAGACAAAGATAATGAGCATCTTCACCTACATTTGCTACATGTCACCATTTTGCTGCACTGATGTGTATCTTTATATATGATTTCTTTTTCTGAGTCATCTGTAGGGCATCATAATCCTTCACCCCAGAGAATTTTAGCATGTACTTCCTAAGAACAGAGACATTTTCCTATATGACTACAGTCCCTTAAAAGCTTCCGGCTAGCTTAGCACTGATGTGATAATATGCCAATCTGTGCACACTATACTGGCACACTCTCATTTCCTTAGCTGTTCCAAAGGGTCCTTCATGGCTGTTCTGCTCTAGCTTCCATTCTTGAAAATACATGGAGCTTTGCCCTTGCACCAAGGCCAAGGGAACCTGGGACATATTCTTTTCCCTCATGGACCCTCAGGACCCCAGGCAGTGCCAGTCCTTAGTGCTGGGACATGTTTAGGGACCTGCATGCTTATCCAGAGGCAGTTCTCAGCTCAGTGCCAATGTCCTGCCTGGGAAGTACTCAACAGGAGGCCAATGACTCCGGCCGTGTGAGAGCACAGCACCCCAGCCTTGACACCGTGCTGTCTAGGTGTCCTTCTAGGTGAGTGGACAGATCAATAGCGGGCCAAAGGAGACAGACAGATCAGTGGAAGAGAACTAAAAGGCTGGCTGCCTCCAGTTCGCCATGTCATTAAAAGAGGAGCTGGGAGGAGGGACAGGAAACACCCTGCAGACATCGTCCTGGGGGCGCAGGCCTGTGTGGCCCTCCCTGGAAGTCAGCGGGGAAGGCAGACATGTGCAGGCCCTGGGAAGCCTTGCGCAGAGGGCGAGCAATGGTCCAGGGAAAGGGAGCTGTGGGCCCCGGGCAGGACTATGATGGAAATGGGGGGGCTTCATCCCCACTGTGTGCTGCCCAGGCCTTTGCAGTCCCCACCCTGCCATAGTCTCTGTGACAAAGATGGCCTGTTAGAATGTTCTCTAATCTGCTCCCTCTGTCAACTGCACTGTATCTAGACAAAGCTACCGGTGCCTTTGAAAATCTAAAGATCAAACAGATACCCTGGAGGGGCCAGTGACAAAGGAGCCCACCATAGTGAGGGCTCACTTCTCCAGAGAGCTGAGTTGCCACACTGCCTCCTAAGCCTGGGGCAGAGAGAGGAGCCACGCCAGACCATAATGCTCTGTCTAGCACAGAGCCCAGACCCATTCCTGGGCCAGTTTGACAGCAAACATCCTATCTAATCCACACATGGACAAAGCAGAAAACGTGAGAGGGCAGTCCTCAGTGTCCAGCCTCCCCAGGAGCCTGGGATGCAGGAGGGCCTGCTCCCTTGCCAGGTGCTGGTGGATGCGGCCCCTTGTGGATTGCTGAGGACTAGGGAACAAACGGACGACTTGCTAAGACACAGTGCGTCTGAGCTTGGGACGCTTGTCCTCCGCACAGGAGCTGAGTAGGGAAGGCTCCCGTGTGTCCTCCTTGGCTGTCTGGGGATTCAGTGTGCAATCCTGCTGTGGATATGCCAGGATGGCAGAGGAGGGCACTCACTTCCACCTGGCTTTCCTTTTCCTCCACTTCACCAAAGGCCAGTCCCAAACACGGCCATGGACCCCTCCGAAGCCCAATCCTGACTGGGCCCATGTACCTCGCGCTTGGACTTCTGGGAGGACCTCTCAAGGACGTCGTCACTGGAGAGGTCGGAGTCCTCGGAGAAGCTCAGCTGGCGCCGGAGCTGCAGCTCTGTGGGGGAGGGAGGGGCAGCACGGCGGTGAGCAGCAGCGCACACCGTGGGGCAGTGGGTACAGGTGTATTTCCTCCCCGTTTCTTCTCCCACACTGGGCTTGCACCCATCCAGGCAGGGCAGGGCCGGCACTGATGGCGGTGCCCGGGCAGCTCCCGCGCACTGAACTCCACCTGCTCGGAAGCAGCCCTCCTCTGGGTAAAGCGGCTTCAGGAAGTGGGCAAACCTCCCGTTTCCCCACCCAGCTGGGCTAGTTTGGGGATTATTATATCTAGCAGAAAGCGCTCTATGAGCGCACCAAGGCTGCTGGTGAGCCCTGCGGGAGCCGCGTGGAGGGCTGGAGGGCGCCCTGCAGGGTCCCTCGGGGTGCCGTACCTGCCCTCGTGACGGCTGGCGTCCTGGGCGCGCCGGAGTCCCCGGCGGCCCCGCTGTAAGGGGGGCCGCAGCAGGACTTGTCGCCCTTCCTCTTCTTGTCCCTCCTGTAGCCGGAGAACACCGACCTCCACAGGGACTTGGGCTTGGCGGCTGTGTCCTCGAGGAGGCTGGGGTTGGGCCGCTCTGCGGGCCGGCCCTCCCCCTGGTACTTCTCCTTCTTGTTTCTGCGCGGGGAGAAGAGCGACGACCTCTTCTGGCTCTTCCCGCTGGAGCCGTCGGACGAGGCGACAGACCCTTCCGGACCCCCCGAGTCCGACGGAGGGGAGAGGCCCTCCTCGCCGGCGGCCTCGCGCCCCTGAACGGGCTCCTCAGGGCCCGGCGCTCTGCCCGAGGTGGGCATCGCGGCGGCCTCGCGGGGGGCGCCCCCCGGCGCCCTCATTCTGCTCAGCTGCTCGGCCAGCGCGTCCCGCAGCGCCCGGCTGCGCACCGACCTCTCCCTGGCGCGCATGCGCTCCTCCGCCAGCTGCCGGGCCTCGGCGGAGACCGCGGGCAGCCCGCGGCAGCGCCGCTCCTGGACTGGCCGCGCGCCTGCGTCCGCGGCGGGCCAGCTGGACGGGGGCGTGAAGAAGTCCTGCGGGCTCGAGTCCTCCGTGCGGTCCTCGTACGTGTCCTCCACGTCGTCGGCGAAAGGGATCTCGTCCACGCTCTCCGCGAACGACTTCCGCACCTCCTCCCGGGGTTGCCGGGCCGGCTCCCGCGCGCGGACCCACGGCGCCGGCAGGAGCCCCGCACGCTCGCCCGGCTGGTGCGGCCTCCTCCCGAGGGTGGCGGGCTCCTCGCCGGCGGGCGGCGGCGGCGGCGGGCTCGCCGGCGGGGTGAGCATGGCCGAGTCCGAGGTGTTGAGGCTCTGGCTGCCCAAGGTCTTCGTGTTGGAGGAGCTGCCCCGGAGGCCCAGCCCGGAGCTGCTAGACAGCTCTCCCCGCTCTTGGGCGCTTTCCAGCTCCCTGCCGGACGGGGACTTGGGTGTGGGCAGGGGGACCTGCTCTGCACCTGCTCTGGGCAGGCCCAGCCTCTTAGGTGCAGGCGGAGGTTTTAAAAGGTGGAGCCCGTCACCCCAGGCCGGCTGCTCCACTGGACAAGATTTTAGGGGTATTGGCTTAAAGGCGGGTGAGGGGAAGCTGTGCTCGGGGCCCTTGCTGTGATCCACGGGCGTGAGACCAAGGCTGCGGCGGATCTCGGCGCTCTTCATCCAGAACTCCGCCACCAGGTCAGTCCGTTTCTGGGCCTCATCCACAGCAAGAGGGCTACCCAATCTGTCCTTAGCATCCCCTTGCTTCAAGGGGAGGGAGGCCACTGGGGTGGAGGTTTTGGCTGGAATAGGCTGGAAGCATACGGGGGACTTAGTTGGGGACAGGATGGTGGCCTCAGAGGAAGGCTGAGGCTGAGAGCAAATGGGGAGCTGGGTGGGAGGGGCAGGGGTGGCCAAGGGGGACAGGCAGTGGGAACCAGGTCGGGAGGTAGGTGCCCTGGCCTCGGGCAGAGCCAGAGGCTGTGATCGGACTGGAGAGTGCACTGCTCTCTGGGTGGCAGGCACCTCTGCTTCGGGCTTTGCTGTGGGGAGCAAAGGCTCAGGGGAAAGGTGCAACTCGTGCGATGTCACTTTGGTACCAACAGAGGAGAGTGAGATTCTCGGCCCCTACAGAAAAGGAGGACAAGCTGCTTAGAAGACAGGGTTTGAATGGTCTGTAAAGACCCCTGGGGTACTCTCTCCTTAAGGGGCGTGCTTGTGGAAATAAACCACTTGCAGTCCTTTATGCTATTATTCAAGCGGCTCCAGGAGAGCCTTTCCCACTTTCTGCTCTGTTCAGTTTTTAGAAAAACTAGTTGAGCAGACTCAGCTTCAGGGTTCAGTTCATCTCAAACTATGTTCTTTGTACACTGAAATGAACACTAGACAAAGGACACTGATGAATCTAGCTTTCAACCCCATGAGCTCTGAGACCTCTGATGTATGAACATGAGGCCATGTAATAAATCAGTAAGAAACTTTATTATGGCCTGTGTACTAATTTATTAGTGTGTGTATTACAAACTCTCCTTTCTGGGAGCTCAGACATACATGGATTCCTGCATAGCCCCGTGTCTCAGTAAAGCGCTCCCCTTTCACAAGCTAAATCACCAATTCACCTTGCTTCTCAGAATCCCAAAGACCAAATCAAGTAGACCCAGGTCTTAAGTTCTGGGCTCCCACCCCGATCTGTCCTCTGGATAATCCCAACAGAGCGTGTTCTACAGAACACACAGCTCCCATCTGTTTATATAGCATTCTCCAATGTGTGGTCATATCCCACTGGTAATCTGTATATTTAAAAATTTAAATCATACACTCATTTTAATATAACATTAATAAAAATATATTTGTCATATCAAACCAATGATTCCACAAATATTATTGTCTTAGCGTAAAAATAAATTTATTTTTAAGCTGGTGTGGCATGTGGAGGGGGACTCAGGTTGGGGCAGAGCAGGGTTAGGGCCATGCTACCCCGAAGGCTCTGTCCCTGGGGGAGGGCGGAGCTTGACCCCAAGGCCACTCCTGTTTGCCACAGCCCCACTCAGCACAAAATGGGTTCACACCCAGGTCCAAAGATGAAGAGGAAATGTGTACCCTCAGTCCTGCCCACAGTGAGCCCCACACTCTTACCTCTGCCATAGGACTGAGGCCTTGCTCCTCTGGGGGCCGGTTGAGGCTGGACGTGTGGGAGGGACCTGAGAAGAACAGATACAGGATCCACAGGAGGAAACAGCCCCTCCCAGCCCACTGCCCTCCCAGCTGGCTCCACAGAGGCTGCCAGACAGCAGAGCAGTGCGCATGGCCCCCACCTGCCCGGTGCCAGATCCCCTCTGCTTGTGGTAGCAGGCTGGCTTTTCGTGGTGTGAGCTGTGCCCAAAGCTGTGAGATGTACCCTCTGGCCTTCACAGTTGCAAACAGCACTGGGCAAGGGGCCGCTGGTCAAGCTTGTGCAGCCCAAGCAGAGGGGCAGGGAAGGCCCAGGCGGTGCTGGCTCTGCTCCCATGGCCAGAGCCCTCGCATGGCTCTCTGCAGGAAGACCATTAGTGCGTCCCCCATGATGCACTTACCCCTTTGCTGGTGCCCAGGAGTGGCAGGGCAGTGCTCCTTCTTGTGTTCTGGAATCTTCAGCTCTAGCTCCGCTTTCCCCAGCTCCTGGGGCCACACGTGCAGCTCTGCTTCAGGGTCCGACCAGTGCCGATCTGGCGGGGGAGTGAGAACCAGGGCTTGAGTGGGGCCACCCTCCATCTCCATCCTCCCGCCTTTCTCAGAGAACAGCCCACTGGTTCACTAACTGCAGCTCAATCACCTAGGGGTCTGGGCCAGCCCTGCCCACTGGTCCCCACTGAGCTTGAGACTCGGCCAACGGCACATTATCCTCTGCAACACAGAGCTGTTTCCCTTTTAAGTATAGATGGTGATACTTCCACAGCAGGAAGAAACATGGCTGGCATCTGCAGAGAGCAGGCCTTGCTTCAAGGACCCACCCCGTCTGCGTCTCTTTCCCAGGAGCGCCTCCTGGCCCTGTATCCAAACACCACAGCTGACGTCGATAAGCCCTTGAAATCTTGCCTGGACTACCCTCATTTCTCCCAGGCTAGTCCCTGTCCCTTTTCCCCAACCAACCAGACTACAATTCTTAAAATCCCACCTCCCTGTACCTCGCTTTCAGAAGGCATACACTGGATGAAAGGCCCAGCAAAGGCCCCACATCTGTTTCCCAACTACAGCTGAGGAAATGCAGATGTGTCAGAGAGTGGCTTGCGGGTGAAGGGCCGCAATACACACAACAGAGTGAACCAGGAGGCCTGGTGCTGCCTCCTCCCAACCCCTCGCTTTTGCTTTAATCTTTGTATCTTTCCTGAGTTCAAATCACTGTGGCCCTGTTGCCCAGAGGGATGCAGGGACGTCACCACGGTAGGCAGGGAGGCTCTGGGGTCTCCCATACCATCATCTAGCTCAGCACCAGTGTCCCCTGTGTCCCCATTCTCTGCTGCTTCTCCTTCTCTCTCTGCTGGCTCCGAGTCCACATCTTCCTCCAAGTCACTCTCGTCAAATGGGACTGTGAAGCAGAAACATTCAGAGGAAGAAAAGGAGGCAGGTGAGCAGAGAGCGCGCCTCTGCGGGAGGTGGTGGCGGTTCTCCCGCAGACGCTCTGTGAAGACAGTGGGAGGGCTGATAGCTTCTGAAGGGCCTGGACTTGGACTCCACAGAGGCCAGTCAGAGTTGGGGAGCCCTCCACAAGCAGTGAGGGTGCTGGGGAGACCAGCTTTTCTCAACTCCAGCAGGGCCAAGGTGAAGGGGAGGAGCAGCTGAAGGCCTGGTCCCCCTTCCTCTTCCTGCAGAGGCTGCAGCAGGAGCCTCCTTGAGAAGGGCAGGTGGGGTGGCTAGCCCTTCTAGCAGCTGCATGGGGCAGCGTCAGGCTCCTCTGCTGGCGGGGTGCTGGCCACTTCCCGTGCTGGTCACATAATCCTCACCATCACACAACCAGAGACCATCTCTAACTCCTTTTTCAGGGAGAGGACTGCGGCCCAGATAGCTGAGGTTCGTGGCCACACCCCTCCATCTAGTGGTCACAGTCTTGTGCGCAGGTGACATTGATGGGTGAGTGACCAGCAAGACCCTAAGGGTACTGCACCCCCCCATCCTGCTGGTGGAGGCCACAGCTCTGCTTGGGGTAATTTAGAGAAACACTTGTTAAAGCATAAAGGGGGGTACTTTTCTGGACTCAAGACGGGCAGCACTTACGAGCTCCACCCTGCTGAGGGGCAGCCACACACACACTCGCTCACACCTGCTCCTTGCCTGGGCACATTCAGAGCTCACACTAGCAGCTCTGTATAGGAAAAAGCAGTTAGGAAAGCCAGGAGCACTGCTTTAAGGATGCTGGGAAACACTGTCCCCCGAGACCACCGGTACCATCAGGGGTGCTGAGGGTTGCACCTCTGGGGTGCTAGGCATGGCCCTTCAGAGCATTTGTAAGGGGAGTCAGGAAGAGGGGCTGCACTTTGATCTGCACATACATGAGGAGCAGAGTCCGCAGCAGGGTGGGCAGCAGAGTAGCTGGCTGAGCACACTGGATGGAGTTCTGAGCAGAAACAGAATGCGTGGACCCTCCGAGCCTGTGCCCTGTGCCCTCTGCCCCCACTGTACGCCACTCCGGGACCTCAGGCTGTGTGGAGTGAGGATGGCAGAAGCCTGGGAAGGCCACTGGTCAGAGGGTAAGGGAAACCAAGGGCGGGGCTCCCCTGCGGGCGTGGATATGGTTACCTATGAGCTCTAGACCTAGGTGGTAGTTACATGTTCTTGTTTTTAAAAAATAATTCCTTAAGCTATCTATGTCTTATCACCTCTTTCGTGTACTCACTAAAAAGAAGGTGGAGGCTCATGACTAGTTTTGGAGAGTCTGTGAAATAGGTTTGGAATGAGCTGGAGAGTGCAGGTGACCAGGGGAAGCTGTGAGACCTAGGACAGGTTCTAGGCTGGCAAACAGTTCATGGCACATTCCCTCTTTTGAGATACCAGAGCAGCCATGCAGCTGGCCATGCCATGATGCTTTCCTACAATGATGGCATTTGCTGGGAAAAATACTGGGGGAAAAACTACTCCATTATCCCCACAGGTCTGTGTGACAAACCAGGGAGTGGGACTTGGAGGCATGAACAGAAGTCTGTATGTCCTCCCGCTTGAGTCCTCTGTACTACACTGCTTCTGAGAAGGCAGGCAGATGCCTCTCTTCCCCAAGAACTCTTCTCCTCGGGTAGTCACCCCAACCTGGGGGAACAGGACCTGGGCCCCTCTGCCTCATACACATGCCCGAGAGTGCCTGCGCCTGCACCGAGACAGTGACCTTACACTCTGCGGGCATGTGTGCTGGGAGCAGGCACGAGGAACCCCGGACACAAGGCTCCCTACTCTGGCACTACTTGGGGTACACCACACGGATCAGCCCAAGGCCAGGCGGTCCCCCAGCCCACATGTGGTTCTCCTAGTTTCTATTAAGTGTCTGCTGTGGAGTTGGGAGGTAAGTAGCCTCCTTGGGAGCCCTTGAACAGAACAACTGCAACATGTATCAAGAACAAACAAGTGAGGAGCACCGGTGTAGCAGTAGACGCTGACACACAGCCAGAGGGCTGGAGTGGTGGGGTTCAGTCCAGGTTAAGGTGGAGTGCAGGGTGCTAGCAGCTGCCACACCCTATGGAAGCCAGGAGTCCTGTTCATCAGCTGCAGCTGAGAAATCCTGACACCTCACCCTCATCCCATCATCCTGGGGATACACACTGGCTAGGAAGGCGACCAATGGCCAGAGGCCGGGCGCTCCCTCTGGCCCTGCGTGAAGGGCCTCTGGCTATGCTTGCACACATTGTGCCTGCTGCCACGTGGGAACGGGCTGCACTGGGGAGTGGCTGGTGGGAAGATCCATGAGCGCCAATCCTGTCCACCCCAGAAGTGACCCTAGGACAGCGGCTCATGACCGTGGGTACTGCTGTCCTCGAAGTGTGTTTGACACTGTGCAAAGGCACGTTTGCTTGGCCTGATGAACAGGGTGGGGGGAGGCTGCAGGACTGACAACAGGAAGAGCTGTCCCACCCCAAAGGCCCTCTCCCCTGTGGGGAAACACTTCTCCAGAAAAGCTTAGGAGGCACAGCTGTTTCTCACTCTCTCTGCCTAACTAGAGAAGCAGCTGTGCCTCTGCAGGCCCCCCTGACACCCCACCTGCTCATCTCCTGCTGTCCCCTACAGCTGAATGACATCCCTAGTCCTCTGCTGCCCCTCTTCCCTAGTAAGTTTTCCTAAAGGGCCCCTGCCTACCAACTGTCTCCTCTGATACTTTGGTAGGTTTGTGGGTTATGAAATGACTCCTCTACTTGCATACCCAACTGCAACTGGGCCTTTACCCAACTTTACTAGTAAAAGAAGTCTGTCTGTCCTGTCTTCACTCCTGTTTTTGCTCCAGATCGTCCCTGAAGGGTGTGGGGTCTGTGTCTGGTCCATGCAGGACAGGCCACTACAGTGAGGCGTGCGTGTCCCCCACCCTCCGCCCTGGGCATGCAGCAGCGGCAGGACCAGTGTGTTAAGGTGCCAGCAGAGCTGCGAGAGAGAGTGGTTACGGTGAGTGGGAGAGAGCAAACATCACCAGTCTACCTCGGGCGACCGTCTCCAGCCAGGCCTGCACTGCTGCGTGGCGTACGGAGGGAAGTTCAGGCACTGAATTCAAAATAGATGATAAATACGGTTACACAGGACGGCAGAGAGCTGAGGTCATCCCTAAGGCCCCAAACAGGAGAGCACCGAGATGTCGTAAGCCAGAGCCTGGTGGCACCGAGGGGGCTGACAGTCCCGTTGCAAGCCTGCGTGACAGACACTCAGGACGAGAAGCGAGAGAACTGGGAGGACAGTGTCGGCTCAGGGCTGCAGGGCCAGCCCCATCCTGCACCTCAGCTCCTGCGGAGCTGCTGCGAACGCCTACTGCTGCAAAAGTGGTTAATAGGTCTGGCCTGCAGGTGAGGGTTTGGGGCCAGAGACGATCACACGTCTCCACTGAAGGCTGAGTTTGGCGAAGGCAGGGCCACCCCTCGTGTTCTCAGAGCCTTGCAGGATAGGTGGTCCCAAAAGGCACTGAATGGAAACATGAAAATCAGTGAGTGAGAGGTGGAGGTGGATGACACCGAGGGTCTGGCCTGGGAGATGGGTGCAGGGAGGCTGGAGGGCACAGAATGGGGGCAACTGCCACATGCCTCCAAAGTCTCCATTTGTTCTTTTGTTGCTTGCAGCTCCTGAAAGAAGCCAGAATAAGGTTCATCTTCATCCTACAGTGGAGCACAGATCACCTCACCTAAAACTTACAGCTGGATATTAGCTATACGAACACTAACTGCTGCTGTAGAGGCTTTCTTGCTATAAATCTCTTCTTAAAACTTCAGTTCAAAGTACACTCCCCTTACTCTCTTCCTGCCTGTGTGCATTCACACCCAGACGCACACCAAGAGGAAGCACCACAGTGCTCTGCCATTTGGAGAGAGAGCACCGCTGCCTAGTTATGTGGGGGAAGAAGGCAACGGCTTGGGTCCCAAGATCAAGCTCATTTTACTGCTTTGCACCAGTGGAGAAAGAGCCCGTAGCCCTTAACCCACAGAGAACTTTACATATCCTCAGATGGAAGTGGAGGGCAGAGGTCCCTATCAACACCGGGAGGTGAGATGCTCTGCTGGTTCTTACTCTTCATCAAGCTGACGGCTTTGACCCTAACAGAAAAGTCCCTCCAGCAACGAGAGGGAAGCGGGGACAGAAGTGCCCTGAGGGGGCCCTGGCTCGTGAGGCCAGTTACCTCTAGAAGCAGAGGACTCAGAGGTGGGTGCGGTCGGCTCTTCCTCCTCTTTCTCACGGATGTGCGTCCAGTGCACGTCAGCCTGGATCTCCAGGGGATTGGCTGGATTTATGATCTGCTGTAGCCTCTGGCTCCCAGCTAGTGTACCAGGGCAAGGGGGGAGGAGATGAGGAAGGGAGAGACGGTGGGGAGGAAGGAAGGAGGGCATGAACAGTGATGGGGGAATGAAACACCACAGGAAAGGAAACAAGGAAAATTACCCAATTTGCCAAGATTAGTTTGAATCAGAAAGAGGCAAAAACTGTGATGACACAAACACAAACATGCGCGCGCACACACGCACGCGCACGCGCACACACACACACGTGCGCATGTGCACCTCCTATTTAACCCGACTTGGTCACTTCAAACTTCAGATATACTGTGAATGTCACTCAAGAGAGTCATTGATCCCAAGTCCCACGCAGAGAGAACTTCCTTTCTGTGTGCATCTCATCTTAACTGCATTTGAGGGGCCTGAATGCCAAATCAGGAGAAAAGTGTAGGTTCCAACTGCCATCCTTTCAAGGTCATGAGTGTTTGGCAGCTGCCAGCACAGTGTGCAACCCGAGGACCACCATTCATGCACCTTCTGTTGGTCGCACAACCCAGTGCTTTCCACCACCTGCCTTGCTGACAGCTTCTCCTTTGATATTTTTTTTTATTTTACAGGGGAAAGCGTGAACACAGTCCCCCACTACCAGAAATGATACAGCCGATTTCCCATACTTGGGGAAATCGCAGGAGTCAGCACATCCGGAGTACAGTGGATAAGCCTCGCCCTGGGAAAACCACCTTCATGATCATCGTATTTCCCCTGCCAGGTAAGTATTTCTCCTTTGAGATTTAAGCCAAGTGACAAGACAGAGGTGGGATGTGGCTGTGTCACTCTTATGAACCGGATAGAAATGTACTTTGCTGGTACTTTAGTTTTATCTTTTGCAGCTAGAAGAAATCCCCCTGCACACTAGGCTTCATGCTGTATGCTGTTGCACAGCAGGGGTGCAGCTGGGGAGACAGTGCAGTAAGTGGGGGCACCGGCTGGAGCGGGGGTGGGCTCTAGCCTGTGACCCTGGAAGCTCTGCGAGCTCATGGGCAGGGAGACACCACCCTGTTGCTTCTGAGGTCAAAGCCCTTTTCCTTAAGACCCCACCTGGTGCCCTGCCGAGGCCCTCTGAACACAAGGCCTGGCTTCTCAGCTAAATGAGAACTCACAGCAATTATTCTTGTTTTAGAGCCCAAGGAATCTGCACACAACCCCTGCCCTATGCACCCCCTGCAATCAGTGCTTGGACCATGCCATCCAGTTAGGTTAAAATAAAAGGACAACCAGCAACTTAGGGGAGGTGACACTATAGGAGGGAGCAAGACTTTCTGGGCAGCAAGAGAAGGTGTCACGGAACCAAAGGACTCTCAGTGGCTTACCTGCACAATCTGGCTTTGGCTTCATTATTATAACACACCCTCTTAATTTTCAAGCAACAGAGGACGTAATATGGGCAAACAGCACCAGTAAGGCCAGCGGGTGTGGCATGGGCACCACGCTGCACTGAGTGAGGGGTGGTGGCCCCTCGTGACTCCCTGGCTGGAGCTGCCAGTCTCCACAGGCTCATGGGCTTAGTTTCTGGGTGAGGCTGAACCACAGCAAAGCCTCCAAACAGCCTATCTTAGGACCGAAGAAGATAAGCCACAGAGAAGAACGCAGGCCCTATCCTCATCTTCCAAGCAACAGAGGAGAGGGGGTGAGTCTTTGCCCTGAGCAATGGTCTGCCTCCCGTTAAGTGTGGCCCGAGGGGCCTAGCCACCAGCATTTCTTCCTTCCCCAGGAATGTGATGGAGCTGGTGGGGGCAGGCGCAGGCCCGTGCTGCTTCCAAGAGCTATGGCTGTGTCCATAAGGTGCTCTGTGTGAGAGGCGGCTGGGTTCTCCCTGGGTGAGGGGAACTGGCAGCAAAACACACAGGGGTACAAGTGGGGCCACGTTCATAAGGCCGCTTCTGGAGCTTTCTCTGACTTCCTCTGGAATTTGTCTCTTATGTTAGCTTACACCTGACTGCTATAAAGGCAGGGGCCAGCTAAATGGGCTAATGCCCACAAATGCAGCTTTATAAAGCACTGAGCTTTTCATGTGGGACCTGCTCTTGAGGCAAGTTTTGGATGGCTGCTGGGGAGCCAGGGTAGGTGGTTGGTGGGGCAGATAGGGTACTTCTGTGTACCTGCATTTTCTTCCTTCGACAGATGCTGGGGCCATTGGTCCTGCATCACTCCCCTTCTACAGCAGGGGGCGCCAGACACCCACAAATAGCATCAAGAATCCGGAGTGGGGTAAGCAGGTGAGAGAGTAGGGGGAGGGGAAAGAATAGGAAGGAGTTATCTTCAGCAGCAAGGCAGTCATCCTGTCACTGCCTATTCTACACGGCACCCAAGTCCACTACAAGAAAGACACAAAGCCCGGGTGCGGGATGCAGGCCCAGGGTTCAGATCCGATAGTCTGCTCTCCTAGGTAAGTATGCTCCTTGCAGGTTTGGGCTGGATGCTGGTTCCAGGCCCTCTGCCTGAGGGAAAGCAGGCTAAACCCTCCTGTGAAGGAAAAGGCTTGACCCTGAGCTGTGCCTGGGGCTGCGAGCCCCGGGGCATACCAGTCATCAGACGGGAAGTAATGTCTGGGGTGACACATGATGCGTTTCCAGGCGGGCCCCGACTGCAGGGACACCCCCACAGACCTTTCCAGGCCCAGGGTCCCCCTCCCTCCTGCAGAGGCCTTATTTCTCCGAAAGCAGAGCAGGGAGACTGGGAGGCCACAGCCGCTGACCCGGTGGCGCCCCACCCCTGCCCTCCATATCTGGAAGGGAGGGAGCAGCGACACCAGGTCTGGAGAAGCTGCCCAGGGAGTTGGAGGAAGCACCCTGCCTCCAATGCCTCACTCCATGCCCGCATCTCTCAGGGGGCGGGGAGGGTGTGCATCCTTCCACTCGCCCAGGGGCCTGGCGCTACACAGCTGGGGATGGTCACCCTCCCCCTGGCTGGGGAGGGGTCAGCATCTGGTCAGTGCCCTGCCCTTGCTGTGCCAGAGAAAATGGGCCCTAAGATGGGCTGGGCTGTGGGAATTATATGGAATTTATATATAAAGTATGAAAATCATATGTATAAGCACTTTTGTCTTGATGGTTTGTTTATGGTTCATGATTGTAGTCAAGACAGAAACAGTAGCTAAGACAGAAAGAGTTTCTGTGTTTGTTCACCATGAGGATTTGTTCGTTATCCTTCAGAAAGTGAAACTGTTGAGAGTTGAACTTAATTAATGATTGTGCATGGAAACCCCAATATTGTTGTTAAGAACCATTTTATCAATAAATATGAGAGATGCCTTCTCGGCACCACTCTTGCGCTGTCACGCCTTGAGTCCCCTGGCTGGTCCTTAAGATCTTTGACGAACAACCGCATCTCTTCCCTCATCTGTGGATCAGAGACAGGGAAGGGACCCGACACTGGGCAGCTGAGCATACTGGACTCCAGAGGAGCAGAGATAAGCACAAAGGGCAGCAGACCAGGGTGGCACCCACCCCACGGACCCAGGCCATCGGGACTTTAATCTGTGACTCTGACTACAGCTGGAAGAATCTGGGCTTAGAGGGCCCCACATCCTTGTCATCCCCCCTCAGCTCTGCGGGCACGGTACGACGGTCAATGCACAGGCTCTGTCCTCAGAGGGGTTCAGGTCTCCGCCTGCCCTGGTCTCCCCCTCACTGCCCCTGAGACTCCTGAGCAGCATGGAGAGGAAAGAATACAGTCTCTTACTCAGGCAAGAGAAGGAGGCCCAGCCAGTCCCTCCTCATCACTTAAGAACACACAGAGCCAGAGACAGGGGGGGCACTGGGACGTTTGGGTTCAAAGCAAGAGGGACTTCAGAGCCGACCAGAGGACCGAGTGCTGGAGCGGGTGCTCCTCTGGACACCGGTCCCAACATGCCACCCCACGTCGTCACCAAGCCCGGAAGCAGCTCAGGCGCGCAGCCCTCCCCCGGACAGCAGCTCTGAGTTGGTGTGGTCAGTGTTCTGCAGGCCCAACCTCCACAACGAGGACTTAGGGAATCCTCGAGGAAGCTAAATTCCCTTTCTTTATTAACTTTATATTAAAGTTGCATTAATTTATATTTAATTTTATATTAAATGTATGTTAAAGAATTAATATAAATTTAACTGAATTAAATGTATATTAAGGAATTATAAATTCAACTTAAACTAAAGGGGACAAAAGAAACGAGAAGGCGAGGAGAACCAGCGCCCCAATGTGCACCGACCTCCCTTCCAGTTTCCACTCAACACAGACGCGGACGTCACTGGACAGGCCAAGGGGCAGTGCCTGCGCCCGGGGGCACTGAGGAGGTGTGCCCTCGTGGCCGCAGAAGCCTGGTCATGCGGAGGGGCCGGTGGCGAGGGTGGGGGGTGTTTTCTGACCTTCACTGGACTCTCCGTCGTCCCCGTCCTCTTCATACTCCTCGTCCTCGTCCCCATCCTCGCCCTTGCCCAGCTCCTGGCCCTTCGAGGCCTCCAGCTCCTCTCCACCCTTTCCTTTCAGGAGGGCATGGATCCTCACGGCCTCCTTCCAGGGAACGCCGCCCAGGTCCGAGGTGGGGAGCGCGGGCTCCTCCTCATCCGTCTCCGACTCGGAGCTGCTGCAGGACAACCACACAAGCAGAGTGAGTGCGGACCACGGGGCAGGCCCGGCGAGAAGCCGCAACCAGGGGCAGAGCCCCGACAGGCAGCCCAATGGGGTCCCACGTGCCTCCCTGCCAGGTGACACTTGCTGTGGCAGCAAGAGCAGGACAAGGGCAGGGTGGGCGCACAGGCCGGAACCCTTCTTAGACCTGCAGGACCAGCATCCTGGCTGGCAGGTACTCTGCAGCAAATGGGGACACCACCAAGTTCAGGATCTTGGAGGCCCTCAGAAGAGGTGGGCGGCCCAGACTCATTCTGATATAACTCACGACCCTGGGCATCAAGGCGGGGAGAAAGTCTCCCAGCGTGACCCACTGTTTGGTTGAACTGCTCCTGAGGCCCCACCATGGGCCAGGCCTTGGGCTGTTCGCTGCAAAGTGACAGTACAGGGACTATGGGGAAAGCATGGAAACAAATGTCCCAACCCCTGGGAGGCCACCACTCTTGACACCCAGCTGCATTTTCCACCCCTGCCCCCACATCCAGCCTGCGTCGGGTCAGGAAGAGCACCAGCTGAGACAGAAATCACGGCCGCCGCCCAGGAGCAGCAACGCCCTGAGCCCTGCCTTCCCTACTGAGAGGGGCAGCATAACTGGGTGCTGGTACAGGGCAGGAGGGAAACCCCACATGCTATGGCACGGACAGCCACGCTCAGACTAGTCCGTGGTGTGACAACTTCCAGGAACATTCCTGAGGGAGGTATGCCCTCAGCCCACTGGGCCGGGCAAGCCCGCAGCCCGGCTCAATGGGGTCTCTAGCGAAGAACCGTCAGGGGCGGGATGAGCACCCATCCTGTCTCCCTGTGCGGGCTCTCTGCCCAGAGTATGGCTGTGGGAGTGAGCCCGCATGCCGGAAGGACATGACACCCCGCCACTAGGGCTCAGCACTGGGCTCTGAGGAGTTCAACCTCACTCACAGATGCCTGGCCTTTGTTCACAGCTTCTGAGGTAAACTCGAAGCCCTTAGGATGCCCTGCCTGGCAGGTAGTCCTCATTTCCCCGGGCCTTGGGTACAGTGGGTGGTCTAGTAATGTGACACAAGTGAGGGCTGGCCATGCCACAAAGAACACTAGTTGAGAGTGGGAGCTTGGGGTCACGCAGCACCAGCTGGCCTACAGGCTGAGATGGATGACAACTGGTCACTGCCTGGGTAGTGGGGCCCCAGCAAGACCCTCTGAACACCCAGGCATGGGCGAGCAATGGTCCACACATCAGCAGCAAGGGCGTGATGCTGTCCTGGCTCTGTGGCTGACCCGCTGTGTGACCTTGAGCTATGGCCTGTCCCAGAGCTCAGGTCCTCACTGAGGAAGCCTGTGTGAAGGTCAGGGTTTTACCAACCTTCCTTATGCTCGTGTCACACTTGGGGACTCCAGCCACTCACTTGTTCACACATTCATTCATTCACTCTATACACGTTTTCGAGCCCCTACTACCATTAAGCCAGTGGGTACAGAAATAAAAAGAGCCAGCTTTCTACAGTATGCAGCTGTTTGGTGAGTCCCCCTTTCTTCCTTCCCCCAACTAAAGCCTACAGCGTCCCCTGCTGCTAATGCATTCCAGGACACAGGAAGGAACATAGGGGCAGCAAAGCCTGTCTCAAGGCGAGAAAAGATTGAATAAAGTAGAGCACAGTTGTGGAGGGTAGAAGGCTGGGTCGGGAGGAGGCACTTTAAGGCAGGCGGATGCAAGAATTTGAACCAAGGAAAGCTTGGCACCTGGATTTTGATTATTTTTCACATGTGATGTGGGCAGTGTTTACTTAGGTATCATATTTGCCTTCCTTTGTGTTTTCATTTGTTTCCTTTCTTATTAACAACAATGTGTAACCCAAAATATGTCATTTAACATCATTCAAACATGAAATAAGGACAGGGCTGCCTCCTATGTGCATCTTAAATCTTAAGTAGATTTATCAAGCTTTGGCAGGGGGCAGAATGAAAGCCGTTCTTCATGTTCAAGCACACAAGGGTGCCCCAGCAGTCAGTGGGGTGCAGCTCGTGGGGTCGGCTGTACTGCATGTGATGTGGGCAGTGAGCGCCCTGGAACAAGGCGAGCCGCTGAGGGCCGCACCGGATGGCTTCACCACAGCTCAAGGCGCACTTTACCTTCTCTGATGGCTCCCAGTCTGAGTCTCTGGGTCTGGCCTTGGAAGAGGCTGGAGAAGGGAATCTGCAGTGAGGCAGGCCCCTCTTGTGGACTACAGCCTGAGGACTCTTTTAAGTGGGGAAAACTCACTACACAGAACGAAATACAATACCAACAACCAACTTCCCTGGCCTTTTGGGAGGAAAGGCTGGCCTCTCAGGATACAGCCTCCGTGGAGTCGAGGACCAGGAAGTCGAGTCATCAAGAAGAGCTTTCCGTCACAGCAGGTTCTGACTTTGCATTTGTACCAACATGTTGCTCTGTTGACTAGACTGCCCTCCCCAGGGCAAGCCACGGTGGGCTGCGGTCTCATTCACAATGTAGACACAGTGCCCCAAAGGCCCTTGGCAGACTGTCCGTGAGAGGCACTGACCCTTCCAGACAGAACACTCGGAAATCCTCCCTGTCACAGCGTGTCCCAAAGCACCTTCCCCACCTCCTCTCGGGTGCCCTGTGCTCACTGTGGCTCTGACATGGGAGGGGGCAGAACCAGCAGGCCCAAGGACTACAGTCTAAAGAGGTTTGCTCCAGGCTTAAATGAGCAAAGCAGAGGTTCTGTGCCAGGAGGCAAAGCTGTGGGGGTGCCAACACTCACTGTGCCCTGGTGAGGTGCCACACACTCCCCATGACCAGCTCCCTACCTGCACTAGGACTCTAGGACACTACCGCTGTTGGACTCCCCATGTTTACAGGGAGGAAACTGAGCTTAATGAGGTGGGCCCTTTGTGAGAAGTTAGGATCCCCTCCCATGTCCACATGTCGCACTGTGCCCAGTCAGTGGTTCTCTGAGGACCCGACAGTTCCTCATCTGCTGGCAGCTGTTGGGTGAACTGGGAGCAAGGTCATGACCAGCCTCCTGGCTGTCCCAGGAACCTGGGGCCAGGAACTCCACAAGCCTACCATGAATGAGGAAGGCCTGTGTGAGCCACCACCAGAAGTTCCTGGGTGGTTTTCAAGGGGTAATGGGACTCATGGCTTTCACTGGTAAATTAATCTACTAATAATCAGAGCATCTTCGTGCAACTGTATGTCCTGCTTGGCCACACCTAGACCCCATCCTCTCTGACAACTGTCCAAATACTCTCCTGTCAAGAAGGCTGCTGGAGGTGTATATCGTCCAGCAATCTTCACACAGTGGAAGTTAATCAAGGCTGAGGGTGACATTCTGCTCAGCAAGGGCTTGTGTTACTGGTCTGCCAGAGAAGGGGTGAGGAACGGAGAGAAGCAGTTGGGAATTCTCACCCATTCATCATCAGCCTTGAAGGAGAGGCTTTTCCTCATGTTACCCTGGGAGGGCAAGGACCCTCGGGGCCGGCGTGCCATCCACTTTGGGGGAGTCCTCTGTACCCTTGGCTGCCCTGACTGGAAGGTGCACAGCCTTGTTCTCTAGAGCCAGGAATATGCAGACACTGAAGTACTTCAGCAGATGGGCCCTGCACAAATGGTTTTCCTTGCCGGGCGGTCTTCCAGACAGGCCATCAGGGAGAAGTCAAACCAAAGCCATGAAGCCAGCCCCCTCTTGTCTTCAGGTCCCTGGTCTCTCCCAGGGAGCAGAAAAGTACTATTTCCAGAGTTTCCTTTGGATGAGGCTCCCCGTGCCCCACTCCATGGTAGCATCATGGGGCTAATGAGGCCTGGCCCAGGCTCTCCGCTTGCGTGGACTAAGCTACAAAGCATCACTAGGGTGTCTGTTAAAAACAAGTAGTCCTGCGCTCCCTGCCACACCCCTGCAATCAGCTGCCAGGGGAGGGCCCAGGACTGGTCTGTTCACCAGGTGTCCCAGGTGGCATTCTCAGCAGGATATTTGGGAAACTTAGGGCAGTTGTCCTCACAGTTGGTCTCCACCACAGCCTCGCCTGGGAACTTGGCAGAAATGCACATCCTGGGCTCTAGCGCAGGCTGACGGAATCATAAACTGTCCAGCAGCCTGTACTTTTACAAGCTCGCTGGGTGCTGCCGATGCAGGCAGTTTGCTCACACTGCCCAAGGGCTAGGTGATACGGGGCCAAACCCAACCACAGGAGGCATCTAAACCACCTAGGAAACCAGTGCAGGAACTGCCGACCCTGCCCCCTTGAGGGGTGCCTGCACTCTGCTACAAGGGATGAAGAACAACAGTGAGGGGGCAGCGCCTCAGTGCTCACAGGCGCTACACACTGTCAGCTGCTTTATTTGATTTAACCTTCATAACAAATCTAGAAGGTGCAGCATCCTTCGCCAAGGAGGAAGCTGAGGCACAGGAAAGCTCAGAAACCTGCCCACAGCCAGCAGGTGGCAGAGCGAGGTCTCCAGCCCAGGTTTGCGTCAGGTCACGGTCTGAAACATCACAAGGCTCTGCGTCCACAGCAGATGCCTGAGGCAGGAGCTCTAGACACTTGTCAGACCAAGTTCCTGGGCTGGATCACTTCACTCCTTCACACTGCCTCTCCTCACCTTCAAGCCTAACAGGTAGTCAAGAAAGGGCTGAAGCAGAAATGTACCTGACTTTGGTGCTGTGGGGAAGATGAAAAAACAGATGGGAAAGGCAGTGGCAGTGCCTGAGGTCACAGCGTGGGATCTCAGCCTTCTCTGAGGTCCCTACCTTGCAGCCTCCTGGGGGTGAGACAAAAGCTATACAGTTCTTCGCCTGGGAGCTTTGCTTTACGAGACCCTTTTTCACTCTGTATAGTGGCTAATGTAGTTGTTTTTGTTTTTTTAAACTTGGATTTAAGTTAGATGGGGCACTTACTACTGCTGCATTTCCCGCTGATTGCCATCAAGTTCTTCTACTCCCACACCCCATCATGCCCACAGCAATCGCCAGGAGATTCTTCCTGGAAGCCCTCCTGCACCACGGTCACTAGCTGCCCCATGGTGTTTCAGTTTCCAAACTGCAGGAGGGAAACTGGTCTGACCCCCACTCACCCCCACACCATGCCTCAGCTCTGCTTTGGCCCCAGGTTCCCTGGCCCTGCGCGCTGGTGCAATGCAGCTCCGTGGGTGCTCTGGGAGGAGCTGTGTGACCATGACCTGCACCTAGTGATGGCTCTGGAAGTGCAGACAAGGAAGAGGCTGCCCAAGAATGCACGGAAATGCTCTCTGTGAGGCCAGCCCAAGAACCAGCTGGCCCAGACGGTCTGACAGCAGGGCTGAGGTAATGGAATGTGGCCCAGCTTACACCCTCTGAAACGCATGCTTGGAACTTAAAAGAGGACTCTACTTTCATTATTTCCACACTCTTACTTGTGGCTCCAAAGAAGCATCCGGTATGTGACCCAAAAGCTCTCCATGTCAACGCAAAGCCTCCCGGGGCCCACGGCTGTGGCAAACGCTCCTAGTCCAGTGGCCCCGTGAGTCTGGCTTGCGCAGGTGCACATGCCCAGCCTTGTTCTCCTGCAGTGCCCCTCGTAAGGGAACAACGAACACTTTAAGCCCTTCTGTGCTGAGCTGGGCAGGCCTGGGTAGCGACAAAGTGAGGTCCTCAGGGAAAGGCAGCAGCCTCAGAGAGTTGGGGGCCGGAGCATGTGCCCTGTGGGCCCCACTCACTGAAACATGATTCAAGTGCTGGGTGGGTAAAGCCCAGGTCCACTGCAGCTGTATTGGCCCCTGGGATGCACATTTTCTGCTCCTCTTTTTTTTTTTTGGTTTATTTATTTATTAATTTTTGTGAATTAATATTATTATTATTTTTTTTTACTTTTTATTTTTATTTTGGTATCATTAATCTACAATTACAGAAAGAACAGTATATTTACTAGGTTCCCCCCTTCACTCTGCTACTCTTTTTACAATGGAGGGAAACAGCCCGGAGGTGAGATGGCTTCCCTCAGACTGCAAAGCAGAGAGGTAGGTGGATCACACAGAGGCGATGCGGTCACTCCGCCACGGCACTCCGCCCACCAACCCACAGCATAGGCTCACTGTGTGGGAGTCTTGTCCCTCTAGTAAGTGCATAAACCACCACCTGAGGCAGAATTTGTGGTTGTTATTTTTTTGTTCCTTTTTCAATGAAAAGCAGTGTTAAAGGCCTGTTAAGTGTTCAGTAAGTACTCACTGAGCCGCTGAGTCAAGGCAGATGAGGCATGACCTGACTGGCCAAGGAGATGAGGAGACAGGGAACGGCCCAGATGGGGAGGGGAGGCCGGGAGAGCCCTGGGCGCAGGTGCGGAGCACGAGCTGGCACCAGTCCCTGGTTCTTGTCTCAGCTGCCATCACTTTCCTCACCCATAACACAATGAGATACATGTTCCTGTCCACTTTACAGGCCTGCCGCCCAGCACCAGGCTAGGCAGCAGTAATGGCGGCTGCCACCTGCAAGCGCTCCCAGAGGCTGAGCAGTGCTCTAGGCACCTTACATGCGGTCAGCTCGATTGTGGCAGGAAGGGACTAGCTCTACCTGCCTTTCAGATGGGTTAAAGGAGGCACAGGGAGACTACATAGCTTGTCTTGTGTCACGCAGCTGGCAGGGGGCACAGCAACACTCAAACCCTGAAAGCCTGGCTGAGACCCCAGGATGCAACCTGAGGCACCACTGCCTTCCCCAGAGGGGCAGCCTAGTCAAGCGGGGAAGAGGCTGCCAGGGCATGCCCTGGGCATGGGGCAGCACACAGAGAAGGGGGCTGTGGCTCCCACTTAGGCTGACCTGCTGGCGGCGTCTTCCTCTGGGCCTTTGTCCAGCACGCTGCTGAGGTTGTGCTCAGCCTGCGTCTCCTCAGGCACCTCCTGCAGTCCCTCTGCCCGCCGCGCAGACAGGCGGTAGTTCTCCAACTCGATCCTCTCAGGAGTGCCTCTCAGCCTCTTGGCAATGCTGGGCTCCTCCAAGCCGTTCACACTTGCGGCTGCAAGATAGGCACAGAAGTAAAGTCCTGTGAGAGGCAATGGGGGTGGACACCTGCTGGGCAAGGAACAGGTGGGAGGTGGGGGTGAGGAGGAGCTCAGGCCCGAGGTGGCCACTTGCAGCTCAGAGAAAGGAGGGGCAGAGCCCAGACGAGGATCAGGGGGCTGGATGCGGGGCTGGGGGGAAGTGAGCAAGGTCAGGCACCTGGAGGGGCCAGGAGAGGACCCCGGTGGGGGCACCGAACCTCACTGAGGAGGAACAACGACCACACACCTGCCCCCACAGGCAGAGCACACACACGCTCCATCACCATCCCAACCAGCAGATTCCTAGCATGGGGTGACTGGCGGGGTGCTGGGGACTTGGCCAAGGCCCTGAGGAAGCTCTGCTCACTGGGACCCTGCCCCCTAAAGCAGCTCCACTGGGAGCTTCCAGCTGCACCCCCTACGACCCTGGATCTGGTCAGGGCTTTGTGCACAGCAGCAGAGGACCCGTGGTGGGCTAGGCGAGGTGTTTCACGGAGCTTCTCACCCTGTGGGTCGGTGTGTCTCCTCTTGATTGGATTCTGTTTAACAAGGACACCACACGGGCGGCACTGTGCCTGCCCACCTCTGTTGTACAGACACATGCTCCCCTTTGCAATTAGTAAGTAATCTGCTGGCTGATATATGGAAACCCACGGGGCCACCCTGCTCCCGCCATCCTTTCCTCCAGTGATGTCATAGCAACGGATGATCTTCTCCTGAGTCCATTATTATACTGGGAGTTACTAAATGGTGATTTTTGAAATTCTGTTGTTCCTTCTCTACTATCATTGTTCTGTGAAGAACTTCTCTCATTTCTTTTACAGTTGTCGAGTAGTACAACAGACCCCCGGACTTTGGAAGACCTCATGTTGTGTGTGACGCTTATGCTTCCCGAGTCTTCCTCAGTCTAGAAGAACACCGTCTCCCTCATTACCATCATTCTTCTTTCTGATAGAACCTTTTTATTCTAAATATGTCTGGAGGCCCATCACATTTACCCTTTAATGTGTTCACTATAATGGAATGTAGCACACAGGTTCAGGGTCAAACAAATCCAGGTTAGACACCTGATCACAGTGACTGGCTGAAGGGCGTCAGGAGCATCACATACTACTGAGATCTAATTTCCTGGCCTATCAGTGAGGACAGGGCCATTATGAACATGGAATAAAATTATATACACACACACGTGTCACACACCAACTCTGTGCCCACATATTCTCCTCCTCTTCTAGCCTAGCACGTGGGTGGTACCCAGCAAATGCCAGTTAAGTGGTGTATCTGATGTCCAGGAACAGCTTCACCATAAGCACGTGAGTGTTCTTGGGTAGTAATGCTGTACCCACCTGGACCGCCAGCAAAGGTGGGAAGAGGGTCAGGGTGGCTGCAGGAAGGAAGACGTGCTGAGAAGAGGTGGAAGCAGGAGCGCAGCCAGGTCACCAATGGCATTGTACCCTAGGTCAGGGCATTCTAAGCTCTGCGAAAGAACACTGGATTTTGGCGGGCACACCATACCCACCCAGTGTTGGGGGACTGGTGACCTATTACGTGAAGCCCAGAAGCTCCATAATGAAGGACTGGAGGAAAGGGCTGGGATCGCCGAGTTAATAATTTCGTCATGCAGCAGACTGCACAGAATGTGTTCCGGAAGCCCGGCCGTTCTGCTGTGCACAGTGTTCTGAGCCTGTGGTACCATCAGAGAGAACTTCTTATGAATCCAGGTAACCACCGGATAAAGTCTTAGTACACCTGCCACAATTATCAGAATTTTCCACCAAATAGCATCTTCCAAATTTACTGGAGAATCTTTACTGAAAAGCAAACTTGGGCACCTTCATCTATAAATTCAGGTAAATGGGGCCTAAGCACTACTCCCCAGGTTCTGTGCGCACGCAGGCCCGTCCCTGCACCCTTGGGCACTTCACGTACCTCTGGTCATTCGACCCTGAACTCAGGGCCCCTAAGTGTGAACTGTGGTGCTGCCAGGGCATCTGGGAGATCAGGAGATAGGTGGACTCCACAGAATGGCAAAAAGGAGGCGGGGGGCACACATGGTGCCCCCTCAGTGGCCACAAACCTGCCCAGCCCGGAGCAGTGCTCACCACCGCCTGTTCTCCCCTCTGCTGCTCATCAAAACCCAACATGGCAAGCACGTGAAGGCTGAGGACCCCTGTCCAATACGTTCAATTCCTTCCTTCCTATTGTGTATGTGTGACACCAGCCCTTAAAGGGAAAGCAGATGAGAACAAAATAAATGTAAACCAACCACCCATGTATAAAGTTTCAGGGAACGCCAAATGTACAGACTAAAATTAAGCATTTCTTTTAGATGGGAGAAGAAAAAGAATAATTACTTCAGGGAAAACTAACGATCAACACTCATCAGTTCAGATCCAAGCAATTTCAAGGTGGTGTGAACAAACACGCTCGCATAGAAAAACCCTGCAGAAGAGGTATTTGGTGTGAATGGGTCACGTGCACCATTTACCAGAAATTCTACTAGAACCTTGGGAAACAAAGCCGATAAAGACTCTGTTCTCCAAGAGCTGCAGGCTTGTCAGAGGAGAGACAGCAGCACAAGAGCAATCAACTGCCCTGACCTGTGCATGATATGGTCCCACGGGGAGCACAGAGGAGAGTGGTGAGCCGCCCAGTGGTCTCACGGAAAGTGCTCTGCAGGAATAAGGAGTGTACTTAGCCAGCTTCAAGAAATTCTGTGAGGTGGGTAATTGTTTGCAAATGAGGTAACTAAGTTTGGAGACACTAAGCAAGCTGCCTGTGGCCACACAACTAGTGAGCAGTGCAGTGGAGCCAAGATTTGTCTCCAAGGAGGAAGCATAAATTCCGAAGAGTATGAGCCATCCCTAGACTTGGGCCACTGAGGTAAAGATTCCTGTTCTGCTTTCTGGTCCAGAAGTGTTCACTATAATCTCCTCCCCACCCTAATCTTCAAGGCAGAGGACACAGAACTTCCAGAGGGCCTGACATTTGGAATAATGCTCTGTCCTCCCAGAGTTATTTCTCTGGTTTCTACAAGCTCCTTGGACTAACAGATAATCCAGCGATAGGATTTGACAGCCCAGACCAGAGACTGAGGCTTTGGGGAGGGAAATGCTGACTTGATTCCAGGGTTGGCCACCACGGACAAAGAGGAGGCCAGAAGCACTCAGAACTACTTGTATCTTTCACACATTCGTCCCCAGAGAGGGGTGATTTGGGCAAGGCACACGGAAAGCCTGCCATGGAGACTCGTAAACACTGAGCTGGAAGTACTCATCTGCCACTCCTGTCCTCCCAGGCCTGTGCGGTAACATCCCCGTGGAGCCCGGCGCACCGCAGCCTTCAGCAACAGAGCAGAGCTTGGCAGGAGGCTCCCTTAGCGGTGGGTCCCCAGGGAGGTTCAGTTCTCCCAAAGGGAAGCCAGCACTCAGAGGGCCCTTGGCAGGTACCCACAACTCACCCACGGCCAAAACACGCTGAACATTCCTAGTCCATGACCTCAAAACGCCACGGGAAATTTTTAAAAAGATATTAACAAAATCAGCATCCTTGATTATCTGTCATGAGTAAAGGGGCAATTCACCAGACGAGTCAGATGGAGGTGATAAACTAAGATACCAAAGGAAGCACTTCCAAAGGAGGCCTGGGCAGTGGCCATGTCCCTGTGGCAGACACACGGCATCCCTGAGGCCCCTCTCTTGTCAACTCATGGAAGAGCCCAAAACAGCAGAGATGTCAAAGAGCAGATGTGAAAATAACTGGCAGCCACTGGCTTGGAAAGTCCAAGTGTAACCAGTGGGACAGCTGGCCGGCCAAGACCCACCTGGCCTCTCCACTTCACATGCTTTAGGCAACAGCCATCATACAGGGACCTCCCAGCTAGAGGTGGGATGAAAGATTTGGAACAATTTCTAAGGCTGGGTCTTCACTAAGTCAGGGCAGGCAGATCTCAGGCCACTGGAGGCCGATCTCAGCTTCCCACATACCAAAAGAAAGCGGCTGCCAGATCTGGGTCATACCCTAAATAGGAAAAAGGCTCTGGGCCTGACCTAAGGTTCTGTTTTAGAACAGTCACTGCCAACACGAGCTCCGCACATCATCCTGAAAGAAGTACTTTTCCTAACAGGACAACCTGCTCTCGGCTGGTGGGCAAGAGCTGCCCAAAGCCTTTGTGTCTGCTTCCTGGAGATACGTGAGGGCGTGGACGATACCCAAGGGGGGCCCTCCATCCTCCACAGACAGCGCTCCCTGCTGTCCCTGCAGGGGTAGCAGAGCCCCCATGCTAGGTGGAGCCAGCTGCTGAGGACACCGCAGGACTTTGCACAACTATGTAAGGCGTCACATGAGACCAGGAGATCTGAGGGCTTTCTTCCTTCTGCCCATATTCATTTCTGGCCCGACTCCCCATTCCTTTTGACTTTCCCCCTTGTAAGTGTGGGAAAGCCTGAATGAAACCTGGAAGTCTGACAAGGCCTTAGGAATAAGGGGCAGTGAACAGAGATCAACTTTCATCATATTTACTGTATTTGTAAGCAGGGTGGGTGTGGGGATTCCTACATTCAACCACACATTCAATGGCGTTTGCTGGCTACCTCCTGCCCTCAGGCACTGTGCTGTGTACCCAGGCACCCTGGGGCAGGACAGGCAAGACCTCTGCCCTGGGGGAGCCTGCCAACTACAGACACGTGTGTGGGGACCCCACCGATGAGGCTGTCACAAGGTGTCAACTGTGAGCTTGAAGTGACAGGTGCCATCTGAGAGGCATCCTGCCATTCTGGAATAGAGCTTTTCCCTTCAGGTTTCTCCCTTATTTGTTTCCCTTATCACGAGTCATGGTACTTCTGCTGTGACTTTTCTTTTTGGAAGACTGAGTAAAGGCCCTGAGCCGCTGGCCGGGCCTTGCCTGCCCCTGTGCTTGTACCAAGGAAGGTGCTGTGCCACCAAGGAGGGTGGGTGAAGGCCTCGGGGGGGCGTT